AAAGGCATAATGTTTAGGGCTGGAAGAATGGCTCCATGGATAATAGCACTTAATGTTCTTTCAGGGGACCAGAGTTCAGTTCCTAGCACTCACAACCATCTGCAGCTTCAGCTATAGGGGACCCAACACTCTTTGTGCACAGATGTGGACAAACACATGCTTCACCCACTCTCAGCCATATACAACCCTACAGTCTAAAACCTGGAAAATGAGGGGCGGTGAAGCAACAGGTCCCTCCCTACCACACCGCCCACAGGAAGGGAGGGAGCACTGTATTAAAGCAGCTTGTGGGGTGGGGTTTATGAAACCAAGGAAAATATACTATTTGCATTTAAAGTGACAGTTTCTCGAGGGACTGTACAGGAGATTTTGTCAGAAAGGCAGGAGCTAGGGAAGGTTCTACTCCATTAGTAGTATCACTGACCTCTCCCAGCTGCCATCCTGGGATCTGCTCTGGAGAGCCAGAAGCCTGGTTTTCATAACCTCAACTATTTCCTGACACACTTGAATGTAGCCAAGTGAACTCCCCCTCTACAACTCCCTCTCTGCAGTTTCTTAGTTTTCCCACCCAAACCTCCAAATATGAGGAATGTACCAGTCCTTGATAATCTCTAGCAATGGAGAGGAATGGGGAAAGATTCTATTCCTCTTAGAAATTACTGGACCCTTTCAGTGCCCTCTGACAATTTACCCATTCTTATCAGTCTTCTCTCCATTTTCTCACCCTTAAAACAGCCCCCTTAGTGTCCACGTGAATCTCAAAGCCGACATGTCTGTCCCTTCTCTATGACCTCACCGGCTTACCTCGGCTGTGTGCCTGCCTCAGCCCTAGCTCTGGACCAGTTCCTGCATCCTGGGTAGCCCCGATTTTCCACAGCAGTCTGTCTCTTTGCTTTCTCTGGAGCCAGCTGTTGCCAAGCCCCCGCTGTCTGACCCGGCTTAACCCAGCAGGGGGCGGGCTGAGGGAAAGAACAGGCAGAGATCTGCTCGTGGCCATAAGGCCTAGGTTCCAGATTTTAGAGGAACTCATTCTCAAGTAGTAACCAGGCTGGAGGACCGTCAGGTGGCTGAGAGCAAATCTTTTCATCCTAGAACAAAACGCGAACGTTGCTTCCTTCTTTCACTGTGTACCTATATGTACACTATTTTTTTCTAATTCAGCTTTTTTTTCTTTATCCCTATGTGCATCTGAAACAAAGAATGGAGACCATGTGTTTAACAGTTAAAATTTATTTATTTTACATTCATACTGTGTGTGCTCACACACATGCAACACAGGTGTGGAGGTAAAAAGATAACTTTACTGGTTCTTTCCTTCTGTCATAGACCAGCAACGAGTGTATTACTACTGAGATATTTGCAGGCTCCAGGTTTTTTTAAAAATTGTGGGTACAGGAGAGCATGTGAGTACCCTCAGAGGCTAGAGGTGCTAGATCCCTTTGGAATTGAAATTCCAGGCAGTTGTGAGCTGCCCAGCATGGGTTCTAAAGTTGGACTGAGTTCTCTGTGAGAGCTGTACTGCTTCGCGTGCATGAGTGCGTGCGTGCGTGCGTGCGTGCGTGCGTGCGTGCGTGCGTGCGTGCGTGTGTGTGTGTGTGTGTGTGTGTGTGTGTGTGTTTAAATCAGGGTCTCTCACTGTAGCCTAGGCTGGCTTCAAACTCACAGAGATCCACCTACCTTTCCACAGGCTCAGTATTCATTAAGTCTGGAGGCTCCAGCCCCAGATAAAATACTTTAGAAAAAGCCATATATTGGAAAGATGGCTCAGCATTTAAGAGCATTTGTTGCACCTGGGTGAGTTGACGTAGGCTTTGAAACTTAGCATTTGGAGGCAGAGGTTCGTAGATCTCTGTGAGTCCCATGACAGCCAGAACGACATTGTAAGACCCCATGAGGGGGCTAGGAAAGACACCTACAACTTGTTGCTCTTCCAGATTCAATTCCCAGCATCCACATTGCTGCTCACAACCACATGTAACTCCAATTCCAGAGGATCAAATGTTGTCTTCTGGCTTCCTGAGCACTGAACATTCTAGATGTACAGACATACATGCAAACACAACATTCTTACTCCTGAAATAAAAACAAATCCAGGAAGGCTACATAGAGAAACACTGTCTCAAAAAAAAAAAAAAAAAAAAAAGGTCTCTCTATTTTCCTTTAAAAGACCATAGAGAGGCTGGAGAAGCAGCCCAGCCCTTCACTGGTTGTCAGGAAAGCATGATCCCTGACCCGCAGACATGTCTGCGATCACAGCAGTGCAGAGCAGAGACGGAGGATGCCCAGTGTTAGCTAGCCTGGGGAGGAAATGGTTTATCTGGCTGCTATTCCAAGTCACAGGCCACCACTGAGTGAAGTCAGGGCAGGAACTGTAGCAGAGAGCATCCAAAGATAATGCAGTTTGCTGGCTCCCTCTCTGGCTCATGGCCTTTATACAGCAATCAGCAGTCAAGAAAATGCTCACTGACCAGCCCAAAGAACAATGGAACCTAGGCAGTTTTTCAATGGAGCTTCTGTTGTCCTAGGTAACTTGTTTGTGTCAAGTTAACAACAAAAACTAACCAGGACAGAAGCCCTGTCTCAAAATCATAATAAATAAATGAATGAATAAAATAGAGCTGAACAGATGGCTCAGCAGGTTAAGGCACTTTCTGACAACTTGAGTCTGATCCTCCTGGAACCCACACACACGGTGTATGAAGAGAACCCACTCCTACAAGTTGTCCTTTGACCTCTAAACATATGTGGCACACTATCATAAACACACACGCAAATAAGTAATTACAAAGATAATATCCCGTGTCCTCTGCAGCTCTGAGCTTCTAGTTTAATATGTGTGTATTTGCATGGGAGTGAGACAGTGTGAATGCTGGAAACTAGAAAGGTCCCCCATGAGAGGGCTGGGGGAGGCTTTAAGGAGACATGTTCTAGGAAGGGTAATAGAACAATCGTGGAAAAAGGGAGGTACTGGGAGTGGAAGGGTTTAGGCCAGGATGAGAGGCAGGGATTGAAGGCTAGGAGTTAAGAGTAAACCAAAACCAGGTGTGAAATTGCCAGAAGGGGGAGTTGGAGAAATGGCTAAGTGCTTAAGAGTGGTTACTGTCCTTCCATTACCCATGTCAGGTAGCTCACAACAGCCAGTAACTCTAGCATCAGAGCATCGGACACCCTCTTCTGAACTCTACAGGACTCATACATCATATATATATAAATAAAAATAATATAAAATTTGAAATGCCATTAAGAAAACACAAACAAACAAACAAACAAAATCTGCTATTTTGCAAAGCAGGGGGGGGGTCAGGAATTCAAGGAGAGACTCAGCTACAAAGGTTCAAGGCTAGCCTGAGCTAAACAAAACCCCACAGACTTTTCACACCCTTGAGCTTTCCATGGACTGTTCTCTCTCCTCTTTTCATGTGGTTACATCCGCGGGTTGGTGCAGATCAGTAAGCTCTGTAAATTTCTAGAAGTTTCTATCTGTGAAATTCTCTATTCTCCAGTTACCTGCCCTGAAGCCTAGCTCCTGTGAGTTCCCAGCTTCATTTCCTCAACTCAGGAGTCGGCCACATCTCACTGGGGTTCTTCATCCAGGCAGTTTCTAGAGGTGACATGGGATCTTTCTCAGGGATCCTTGTCTTTTTCCTCCGTGTTTTGAATACCACTGTTCCACATAGTCTGTTCAGTTTTTTATTTATCCCTGACTGAGTCCTATTATTTCATCTTGGCCAAAATGGAAGGCAAATCGAATTTTAAAATATTCACGTATAAAAAGATTTGAGGCTTGAAGTAGTATTGCCGTGAGTTCAAGGCTAGCTTGGGCTACATAGTAAGGCCCTGTCACAAAAATAAAGAGTAAGAGGGAGCCCATGTGTGAGCGTGTAACACGGGGCTTGGGTGTGCGCTGGGACCTCCACTGCCATGTCTGTCCTCTCCATGTTGCCCACTGCCTTGTCTGGGTGATGCCCACCCAAAGCCTTGTGCTCACTGCCTGCAAGCGTGGAAGTGCACTCTATGTTTTTAGTTATATTTTTCCACAAGAGAGGTTTTCTCCCTCTCTGTTTCCATAGCACCCTTTAGTGAACGCACTGAGATCAAGCCTTGCTCCTTGCAAGGTCACACATAAGCAACTGTAATCAAGGAGGAAAAAAAAAAAAAAAAAAAAAAAAAGAGGCAGAAAAAAAAAAAAAAAAAAAAAAACCCAGCACCGACATCTACACACACAAAGGCAGGAAGGAGCACATGTACACACATAAACACACACATGAAAGGATCATGGATTCAGGAGGTAAAGAAGGAGGGCAGATGGATGGAGGAGGGAAGGTCAGTGTCATATTGGTAAAAGACAGTTTGAGAAAGACCAAAGGAGAAATGTTTTCATGGATGGGGTAGTTTTGAAACTGTGGATCTAGACTGTTAATGAGTGGATTGCAGCAATCATTTTTCTTTGGAATATATAATCGCAGAGCATAGAAGTATTAAGAGTAAATACTATTTCAGATATGTACATATCAAATTTAAAATGCATTTAGTATGGTTCAAAACCAAAGTTTGAAAATGAGGAAGTAGTAGCAGATTGGGCTATGGAACAGTGAAGTAGAGGGCCGGGCAGTGGTGATAAAGTCTTCAACCCCAGCACGTGGTAGGCAGAGGCAGGTGGATCTCTGTGAGTCTGAGGCTTGGTCTATAGAGCAAATGCCCCAGCCACCCACCCACACACACACACACACACTCACACTCACACACACGTAGCCACTTGTTTGTTTGTTTGTTTTAGATGGAGTAGCAACTGTAGCCCAGGCTGACCTTGGACTCACTAAGTAGCCAAGGCTGTCTCTGAACTTCTGCTCTCCCCACCCCCACCACCCAAGCACTGAGATCAAGGTGTGCACCACCACACCCAGCTTATTTTTTAAGTTGTTTGGTCCGGATTCTTCCCCACTCCACCCCCGCCCCCCCTTTTTTTTTTTTGATTAAAAACCACAATGATACCCAGGACCATCCTGCTTTCTGCTTTATTTTCCATGGAACTCATTTACATCCACAATTCTGTTCTGTACAGGTTCCAGGGTCCAGGTTTTCAGGTCTGGGGTCCAATGAAGCCCTACCCACACCACCCTGGTAGGCCATCACCCACCCTCCCTCCTGCCCATCACAGCTTGATGGAGCCTCTGTGAATCAGGCCGTCCTCTTATTGCCTGCAAGAAGAAATTCAAGGAGGAAATGCACGAAACTCCACTCTCACTCTCCTCCTGCCCACACCAACGTGCTAAAGCCGGTCTGTCCTTCCAGATGGGAGGAGGCTGCTCACAAAGGGGTGGGGGGGGGTGGGGGAGACTGGCAGATAGCTGGCTTTGCAAGTGAAAGAGAACGCCTGGAGTCTGCAGAGCCCCTCCCTAGGGAGTAAGTGCACACTGCCCACCCTCCATCCTTCACCGGCATCCCCTTAACCCAGACGCTAGGAAAACATTTTAGCCATCTTTTCCATCCAGTCATCCCTTTACTCTCGTGGCACCTGCTCACAGAGTCCTGACTCCTCCACTGACTCATACTTTGTCTTCTCAAGTGACTTTACTGCAATACTCTATGCTCTACAGGACCCCCCCCCCAGTATAAGCCACCAGCGCAGCAAATGGAACCGCACCAATCCCCTCCATAATATCCTCTCCCCCAAGTCCTTTCTTCCCAGCCCCAACCCTCACTACCCTCCACCCACAACTCACAAAGGGGAAATGCCACTATCTCTGAGGGTATGCAGTGAGCCTGCCTCACTCCTGCATGCTGAGGATTCGAAGTAGGATATGGTACACATCTTGTTCCATGTAGCCCTGGTGGTGGCAGAAAAGACATAAAAGATGAAGAACATGGTGAGAGGCAGGTGAGGGAGCATTTTTTGTAGCATAGCAAAATACCAGCCATCGCCTCTTATAATTACATAATCCCTAACAAATTCTGTTTGTCTTTGTTTTTCAGTGCTTGGGACTGAGAAGGGCTTCCTGCCTACAAGGCAAGTGCTCTCACTCATAACTTAATATTTAACTTTCCCATGGCTATTTTCCCATCTTCACAAGGAAGAGAACGACGTCAACTTCTCATCTACCTCTTGGGATTGCTGTGCGGGCTGCACTAGGACTCGGAAGCAAGCACCTGGTACACAATTGTAATTCCACTCCCCGCAGTTAACATCCCTAAGCCCCACCCACTACTCCTCCATGATTAGGGCAGTCAGCTCAGAGGAAACTGATAAGGGCATGGGGGGTGGGGTGGAGGAAGCCTCACAATGGACTAGGGAAGTGAAAGGAAAAGCAAACACCTCTCCTTCCACACCCACACCTCGCTTCTCCCACCGCTGGGTCCAGTGGTGTGGGAAAAAAGTAATTGACAAGTATGTCCAGGAACAGGAAGGGACAAAGGTAACAGCCCATCCTCAGCTATGTACCCCTGCTTCCTCCCAGATGCCACCAAGCTCACCTGAGCGGCATTCAGCAGGTGACTCCTGTAGGTAGAGATGATCTCCTCGTGGTTCTTCTGGGAATCCTGAGAGGGAGCACCCGTGGGAAGTCACAAGCATACCCTTCTCACACTCAACCCAAGGCTGACTCCATTGGCTCATCACTGCCAGCCCAGACCACTGCCTGGCTAGTCGCTTGAAAACTCCCCTCTTCCGCTACCCACCCTCTTCTCTGTCAGGCTGCTGAAACGTACCTGCAGCTGCAGGGCAAGGTGGGTGTTCTCACCCCGAACCTCTAGAACTTCCTCTGAGAGCTGCTCCAGCTTCTTCAACAACTCTTTAATCTAAGGCCAAAATGAAAGAAAGGGACCCAGGTCATTTTCCCAAGATGACTCAAATGACTCAAGAAAGGACTATTATCCATATTTTATGGGTGGGACCCTGAGTTTAATAAGTTTTCAAAACCATGCAGCTATCCCAGGGTGGTGGAGCTCACACCTTCCATCCCTGTAGCGGGAGGGGGGGGGTGTGCGGTGGGGAGAGACAGATGCAGGCTGAGCTCTGGAAGCCTGAGGTCACTTTGTCTCTATAGTGAGTTCCAGGACAGCCAGAACTACACAGTGAGACCTTCTAAAAACAAAACAAAAACAAAACCATACAGCCAATAAATAATAGTTCAAACCAATATCTCTTTGGTTATAGCTCATGGTCTTCTGTTAGATTTTGTTTGTTTGGATTTTTTGTTTTGTTTTGTGTAGATAGGGTCTCACTGTGTAGAGCTAGATGGCCTGGGCCTCACTACATAGACTAGGCTAGCCTCACACTCACAAAGATCCTTCTGCCTCTGCCTCCAGAGTGCTGACATTAAAGGTATATGCCACTACATACACCCAGCTATAGCAACTTTTTACTGAGCATCTAACATGTGCCCCAAATTATCCTGAGTATTTTATTTTATTTTATTTAGTGTGTGTGTGTGCATGTGTGTGTGTGTATGTGTGTATGTGGGTGTGTGTGTGTAGGGAGATTCTGCTTTTATTGAGACAAGATTTCTCTGTGTAGCCCTGGCTGTCCTGGAACTCGATTTGTAGACCAGGCTGGCCTTGAACTCACAGATTCTCCTGCCTCTGCTTCTCAAATATGGGATTAAAGGCTAGTGCCACCACACCTGGTGTGTATGAGTGATTAGCCTGCATTAAGTGTAGTTCTGTGTAGCCAGTGCCTTTGAAAGCCACAAGAGGACTTCAGATCCTTTATAACTGGAGTTATAGATAGTTGTGAGTTACCATGTGGATGCTGGGAACTTGCTGGACAGTGAATATTCTTAACTGCTGAGCCATTTCTCCAGACCCAGTAAAGCAATTTATTTTCTTTCTTTTTTTTTTCCAATGGTGCTGTGGGCTGAGCTCAGGGACTTCCTCCTGCTAGGCAAATGCTCTGCCAAAAATCCATATCCTCAAATTTTTCCCCCGGGGACAGTTTCTCCATGTAGCCCTGGCTGTAGAACTCACTCTGTAGACCAGGCTGGCCCTGAACTAAGTGATCCACCTGCCTCTGCCTCCCAAGTTCTGGGATTAAAGGTGTGTGCCACCATGCATGGCTTTCATATGTACAAACTTCTAGTCTAAGAATTTTTTTAGTAATTTATCTAAACTGGGTTTCATAAAAATCAAGCTGGTCTTAAATACAAGGATAACCTTGACCATCTGATTCTCCTACATCAACCTCTTTTTAAACTTTTATTTTAATTTTTATGTGTATGGGGTGTTTTGTCTGCATGTATATCTATGTACCATGTGCATGCCTGACACCCTCAGAAACCCTGGAACTGAAGTGACAGATGGTTGTGAGCTGGGTGCTGGGAATTGAACCCTGGTCCTCTGGAAGAGCAGTCAGTTTTCTCTCTCCAGCCCTTTGCATTATAGAAAAGATTTTATTTTTTAGTTATTTATGTGTGCGTCTACATGTGGGTGAGTGCATTTGAGTGCAGTGCCCAAAGAGTTCAGAAGAAGTCCACAGATCTCCTGGGCTGCAGTTATAGGCAGCTGTGAACTGTCCAAGGGTGCTGGGAGCCCAATTCAGGTCTTCTGCAAGAGCAATAAAAGTTCTTAGCTGCTGAGCCATCTTAGCAGCTCATTGCCTCCACCTCTGTGTGTAGTGTGTTGGGATCCAAGCAGAACCTCATGCATGCTAAGCAAGCACTCTACCAAACAAACTACATTCCCAAGCCCCAAAGATATTTACTATCTAATAAATCTTTACAACTACCACCACATTAGCAGTTTAATTTTTAGTTTTTGTGTATGAGTGTTTTGCATACATGTATGGCTGGACGCTGTGTGTGTGTGTGATTGGTGCCTGATTCCCCTGGGACTGGAATTACAGACAGTTGTGAGCTACCACATGGGTATTGGGAACCCAAGTCCTCTGGAAGAGGAGCCATTGTTCTTACCATCGGGCCATCTCACTAGCTTAGTAAATTAATCTTATTGAAGAGAAAACTGGGTTTTGGAGAGGTTAAGTAAGTTGCCAGGGGTGGTGGCACAAGCCTTATGTCAGTACTCCTTGGAAATAGGCTGATCTCTATGACTTAAAGGACAGCCTGGTCTACTTCTCTAGGCCAGCAAACATCACATAGCGAGACCCTGTCTCAAAATAAAACAAAACAAAATGTTATCCGAGATCAGTCAGCTATTAAGTTTTTTTTTTATGTATACAATGTTCTACCTGCATGTACACCTACACACCAGAAGAGGGCACCAGATCTCATCACAGATGGTTGTGAGCCACTATGTGGATGCTGGGAACTGAACTCAGGCCCTCTGGAAGAACAGCTAGTGTTCTGAACCTCTGAGCCATCTCTCCAGCCCCAGCTATTAAGTTTTATGTGTTGTTTTGTTATCAATTCTGGATGGAACCTAAGGCTGGGCAAGCATTCTTTCACTGAGCTATATTTCTCAACCTAAGCTGTTATCCCACACACACACACTCACACACACAATTGTGTGTGTGAGTGTGCATGTGTGTGTGTACGTGTGTATATGCACATGTGCACACTCTCACTTGCTAATGTTACAGGCATGTGCCACCATATTTGACTCCCTGTGTAAATATTGAAACTGAAATTTAAATCCAGCCTCACTCTAGACACCGTAACTACTCAAGTACTATACCAAATTTTATTTTACAATTTATTGACTTTCTTGCCATTTATTGACAAAATGGCTCCTTTAACTCCCTTCCATGATGATATCTATTTTGGACAGCATTTCTTCTGTCTATGCATGATACACTAGGCAAATACTGTTTATATTCTTCCATCGTTCTCAAATTGAACATGTACAGAAGTTTTAATAGGAAATCCGAATTCATTAACTTAGTGGGTATTTTGACAACTACTAAATCCATTCGTAAATTTTAGAATGTATAAAATATGCCTCATTCCCCAACCGTGCCAAGAAAATAGTGGCTTTCAAAGTCTATTGTGGCTTGGTTTTGCTTGGTGTCTTGAGACAGGGCCTTGTGAGCTCAGGGTGGCTTGGAACCAGCTCTGTAGCTGAAGATGACTTTGAACCTATCTCCTGCATCCACCCGCTGAGTGACTACCAGCACAGTTCTTCAAACTGTTGCTTCGGTGTCTTTTTGGCCAATGGAGATCATATTCAGGACCCATTCTGAATGCAACAGAAGGGAACAGCAGCAACAGTTAACCCATCAGACTCTGAGTCAGCCAGAACCTCAGCAAAACCACAGAACACATTACACCAGTAGGCTAGACTAATACAGGATTAAGAGAAAATGCTAATTGGCCATGGTGTTCCCTGGTACAGCCCTGGGGGCATGCATAGCTTCTAAACCCTGAGTACTAAATTGTAGTACCTACGCCCTCTTCTCTCTTATACCAAGTTGCTTATTTTTATCTCTTTCTTCTGTGTGCCGCCTGAACTCCAATCTCAATCCCAAACCTCTCTCTCCCTAGGCAAGCACAGAGCAGTCCTTGCAAGTGCCAGACACTCTGATCGCCACTCCCTGCCAGGCTCTCAAGGCTACCTTAGCGCTCACCTTGGCCTCCTTGTCTCTGCAAGCCCCGATGAGGTGGTCTGTCTTCTCTTTCAGCAGCTCGGCGGTTTTCTCGAACTGCTCTGAGCGCCCGCGCATCTCACCTGCCTGGCGCTCCTGCTCAGCCGCCCGAGCCGCGAGGTCCTCGCTGCGGCGGCGCTCCTCTGCCGCAGCATCTCGCAACCGAGACATTTCCCGACAAGCTGTGTTGTACTTCTCCAGCACAGCTTTGAGCTCCTGGCCCCAAGCCTGCGCCTGGGCCACCAGCGAGCCTCGCGTTTTCTCGTGCTGTCGCAGGCTGGCTGCTTCACGGGCTCTCAGCTCGGCCACTTCCTCTGTGGCTTGGTAAAGCAGTTGTTTCAGCTTGCAGATCTCCTGGCTCTTCCCGCTCATCGTGGCCTGCACAGCCCGCAGCTCTTCCTCCAGCTTCCCCAGATCTTGCTCCAGGGCGGCCACTTGGGGGGATGCTGGAGCCTTCAGGGAGGCCTCTGGCTCCCCATGGGAGACCAAGGATCCTCTCAGCTGCTGGTTTTCCTCTTCCAACCGTGCCAAAGCCTGCTGGGCTTCGAGGTGCCTATCTACCAGGTTGCTGATGCAGGTCTGCAGCTCCTCCAGGGGTTCTGCAGCTGTACTCCGTGCACTCCCCTTACCCACGAGGTCTGGGGGCAGACAGTTCCACAGCCCTTGGAGGCCGCTGCTCTGGGAAGCCAGTCGCCTGCGCAGCTTCTCTGTAACCTCCTTCTCTACGGCCAGTTCATCTGTTAACAACCCCACGCTCCGCCTCAACTGCTGTAGCTGGACCTGCGCCTCGGGCTTGGGCACAAACTCCCGCTGTAGCCTCTGGGTCAAAGACTGCAGCTCTCCTTGCAAGCGTTGCCTTTCACGCCCCAGCTCTCCCAATTCCTCCAGCAAATTGCTGTTGCTAAGTCTCAGCGCTGACACCTCTTTCTCCAGGTGTCCCTTTGCCAGGCCTCCTACTGAAGCCTGTTCTCCCCCAGGGGCCCCTAGGGGCTCTCCTCTGGCCCCAGGAACCCCCTTTTCTTCGTGCTCTTTAGTGCATCCTGGAACTGCTTTGGGGGGCCCCTCTCTGGACCCCTGGGCAGGAACCTCAGGTTTCATCTGCAGTCCTGCCTTTGCTCGATCCAGCCTCACCAGCACCCTTTCCAGCCTGGCTTCCATCTTCTCCCAGGCAGCTGCTGCAGCCTCAGCCCTGGGGGTCCCCAGAGCTCCCTCCAGAACTGGTCTTGACAGAGCCCCTCTGGCGGCATCCTTTTCTCGCCACACTGCAGCCAGCTCTTCCCTTAGCTGTAGCAGGAGTTGGTTCAAGGCTGCTATGCCCGCTGGTTCCCCCGCTGGGCCAGCTTGTTCAGTCCCTGGAGCCGGGGACCGCTCCTTCTGGACAACACACACCTGGTCAGCGTTATCCAGGCCAAGGTTCTGTTCCCCATTGGTGTTCAGCTGCTGTCCTGTGGCCTTCCCGATGGTCTCAGACCTTGGGCTCTGGGGCAGCCCCCGCTCTGGTTGGGACTTTCTATGGACTTCATACTGGGTCTGTGCTGGGGCTAACTCTTCAGCTCTCCTGGGAACTACTGTGGGGTTCGCTGTGGCTGCTGCCTTCTGCTGCCTCTTTAGCTCTTGGATTCGCTCAGCCAACAGATTCAGGGGACAGCCCTGCTCCATACCATCTCCTCCAGGACGGAGACCGGGGCCCTGTCTTCCTGGGGCCCCAGGCTCTTGCAATAGGAGATGCCCTAATTCTTGCACCTGCTCTCGAATCTGGTTCTCCAGGCCTACAAACGCTGCAGCTTGAGCCTTACACTCTTCTGTCTTTCGCATCAGCTCCTTCTCCAACTGGTTAACTTTCTTCTGTTCCTCTTCATACTTCCACTTCCACTCCTCTGAGCATCTCGCTTCCTCCTCCTCTTCCTCTTCCTCCTGCTCTTCCTCGTTCTCCACTCTCCGTGATCTCTTAAGGGGAGATCCTACTTGAGGCTCATGAGGAGAAGCCTATAAACAAAAACCTGATGTGAAGCTGTGCAAGTAGTCTAGGCTCTGCGAGAGCCTTGCTTCTGGGAATGTCCTGATGCCCACATGGACTACTGGAATAGCTTGGGAGGAGGTCAGAAACGAAAAGGGGAGGAACTTAGGATCATACCTGAGATGCATGATCTGGATGTTGAACCAGTCCACGACCTGTAAGAGAAGATACGAAACAAATGAGAGCTCAGTGCTCATCCGGTTTTCAGACTTTGTTAGAGAAAAGTAGTCACTCATTACGAATCCCTAACTATCTAGCAACTTTGGCTTCCTGTCCCAGAGGTGGAGTGTTTCTTTATTTTGTACACACATTTCTTTTAGAGATCATTGTGCTGCTACTATGAAGGTACTGGAACATCAACCAATGGTGGGCAAAATAGAAATCACATGGTGGCAACAACAGCAATAGCCATTCAATCCCAGCACTTAGGAGGCAGAGGCAGGCAGATCTCTGAGTTTGAGGCCAGCCTGGTCTACAGATCAAGTTCCAAGGATATACAGAGAAAAAGGCAAATAAATAAAATAAAAAAATAAACAAATCACAATTGCAATAGCCAGAGTTGCACTCAATGAGCAAAAGGTGCGCTGGGAATTCTTGTGATGTAGCAGTACTCAATTAATAAACCCTGGACTAAGATGGTAGGTCATTTTTTTCCCCAGAAGGCAGTGAGATACTGAGAAGCTTCTTGAATTCTTTGGTTATTGAAGAGAATCTTGAAGGCACAAAGGGACCTCACCGCCTCTTCGCCGCCGGTTCAGGGCCTGCTGTAGCAGCCTCCACAGCTCCTTGTCTTGTGTGTGCAATGCGTAATGCAAAGCATTGTGCCCCAAGCTGTCCACTGCTCCAGCATCTGCTCCGTGGCTCAAGAGCAGCTCGGCCACCTCAGCGCTGCCTTTCTCACAGGCCAGAATCAAGGCTGATCTGTGGGTGGAGACAAATCTGGAACACCTTCATAGTTTTAGAAATTCCAGTACAGGATAAGCCCTCAATCCGTGGAGTCAGAGCCAAGGTCAGAGCATTAGACCAGAGCAGGACTTCTCCAATGTCATTCCTTGGAGCTGCAGCATCAGAAATTGGAACCACTAGGAGAACTCCACTTTTGTCTGCTTTATAGAATGCTAAAGTTCTGCATGACAGCACACACACACATGCACACACACACAAACACATGCACACACTCACACACACATGCACACACATGTACACTCTTATACACACATGCACGCACACATGCACACACACGGACAGCAGCATTTTGCTCATGATCCTTCTGCCTCAATCTCCTGAGTACTGGGCTATAAATGTACACCACCACATTCTTCTTTTGCATAAATTTCAGGCTTAGGAAATAGCCTGAAAACTAGTAAGTTAAAGCAGGGATGCCAGAGGTAGCCTTTCTACTTCTGGCATCACTTGTGCTAGCATGGCTAGCTAGTCAGGGCACCAGGCAAAACTTTTTGAGCCATTCATGGAAAGGGAGGAGGCTCCCAAGAACAGAGACTAGCCTGTTCTTTCCAGTCCATGGTAAGGAACTGGACTGGTAAAAAACTGGAGGATGGAGACAGCTCACTTGTCATCCTTGTCTGTGACATTAACTCGGGCACCTCTCTGCAGCAGCTGTGAGCAGATAGCTGCATGACCACCCAGCGATGCAATCATCAGGGGTGTACGTCCATCCTGCAGAGATTGTGGGAACATGAGAGGCAATGAGGAGCCAGGGAGAAGTAAGGACTTGACAATTCAACCCTATACCAACTCCCCCTCTACTAACCCCTGCTCAAACAAGCTTGGTCCTGGGCCTAAACACTATTGTGCCAGGACTTAGGAGCTCCCAAATGATATGGAGGAGAAATGGAGGCCGGATCACAGAATCTGGCCAATCAAACTCAGAGAAAGCAGCAGCTTCCTGGTCAGTGTGAGAGAGAAACTGACTATTGATCTATCTGATACTCACGTTGTCCAGCACATCCAGGAAGGCCTCGTGGTCACACAGCAGGAGGACACTTGAGGCACAGCCAGAGGAGGCTGGAAGGATTGAAAGGTGGTTGGTTAAGAGGTGTGAAGACATCTACTTGGGCTATATAACCCAGCATCTCTCCCATCATGTCACCCACTGTTTCCCAGCCTTCTTCCCACCAGTCCCCAGGCACGCACCTGCCCAGTGTAATGGGCTACGATTTTCTGCATCCACAGCATCTTCATTAGCACCGTGCTGTAAATAGCCACAAAGAGAAGAAGCAATGAAGCTTGGTGTTAGCATCCTCATCCCATTCCCCCATTTCAATTTTCCAGTTTCCATGGTAATATGGAGAGAAACAAGAGGACCATGGATCTGAGGGGAAGCCAACCACTATGCAAGCTCAGTCTACTCCCTGTAATTGATGTGCAGCCTTGAAATTCAGTCCTAGTTCCTCACTAAGGTCAAAGAAACAATAAGTGATCAGTAAATAAACATATAGAAGGAAATGACACCTGACTTTGGCTGTAGTTTTGAGACCATTACATAAAATTTGGAAAAGATGAGGAGTAATAAAAGTAGAACAGTAGCCAGGTGGTAGTGGTCCATGTCTTAAATCCCAGCACTTGAGAAGCAGGTGGATCTCTGAGTTTGAGGCCAGCCTTGTCTACAGAGGGGATTCCAGAACAGCCTGGGCTACACAGAGAAACCCAGTCTTAGGAGAAAAAAAAAAAAAAAAAAGTAGAACAGTCTGTATGTGCTCATGGTCTGCTGGAGACACAAATCATCCAGGTGTCTTGGCTCATGTATGTTTTTCTTTGTGCTACCTAGCTGTAGCCCTCTCCTCATCTTATTTGTTTATTTATTTACTTGGGGGAAGTGGTGTGGTTGGTTATGTGTGTGGCGGTCAGGGGACAATGTGCAGAGGTTAGTTCTCTTCTCCCACCATGTGGGTTCTGGGAGTCAGACTCATGTCATCAGATAAGGCAGCAAGTCCTTCTACCTGCTGGGCCCTCTTACTTATTTGAGCATCCCTGCTTTTCTTCTACCTGCCCATACACATAGCAGCCAGTCTCCACAGTGACTCCGCCAGCGAGAGAGTTCTCGGGTACTCTGGTTTCTGACTTGCCAGCCAAAGATAGCATGAAGCGTGGTACACATACAGAGGAGATGTCAAAGAGATGTTTGTGAATGTATTGTTGAATGGCCTTCAGCTGTGTCACTAGGAATGAGACCCATAAGAAAAAATTGGGGCATGCTGCTGCCTCTGTCTCCTGCCTGCACAGGAGTATCAGAGGACTGACTGCTTTTACCTGAAGCAAGACCTTTACACACTGTGGCTGGCAGGAGATGGTGGCCAAATGAAGGGCGGTGCTTCCTGGAAAGAGAGAGGGAGAGAGATGGAGAGAGATGGAGGGTGGGTGGGTGGGTGGCCCCATGAAGGTGGATGACTCACTGGGCGGGAAGGCAAGAGACGCACAGATAATCAGAGGGAGATTAGAGAGAAGCTCTCCACATCGGGCCAGAAATTCCTGTTCCCCAAGCAGCTGGTACCTTCAATGGTGAGTAAGGGGAAGGTGTGTGCCTAGCTTACAGGGAGGGGAACCCGGGGAGAGAAGCTGGCCAAGACTTACTGAGCCTAGAAGCAAAGACCCACAGCTGGAACCTCCATCAGAGCCCAGCACTGGCCCCTCTGCAGCCACGGAGACAATCTTGCAGCTTAATGGGCAGTGCTGGCTGACTCACCATCCTCGTTCTTGCTGTTGATGTCAGCCCCGTTTGCAAGCAGTATTGTCAGACACTCTGTCAGGCCTTTGGAGGCCGCCAGGTGAAACCTGCCAGTGTCACAGCCAAGAAACAGGAAAGGATGAAAGACCAGGGGGGTAAAATGGGGGAGGCTCGTTTTTTTTTTTTTAAATCGTGTTTAATATTCTAAATTATTCTGATCAGTTAGGTTTTTTGTTTGTTTGTTTCAAGACAGGGTCTCTCTGTGGCTTTGGAGCCTGTCCTGGAACTAGCACTTGTAGACCTGGTCTGGAACTCACAGAGATCCACCTGCCTCTGCCTCCCGAGTGGCGTGCTGGGATTAAAGGCCTGCACCAACACTTCCCTGAATGATCAGTTGGTTTTGCTGGCTTGTTTTGAGATAGAGTCTCACTATACAGACCTGGCTGCCCTTGAATGCTAGATCCTCCTGACTTGACCTCCCAAATTCTGGGACTATAAGCAGGTACCAGGACAACCGACAAGGGGGAGCTTTAACAAGCCCTTTTCCCTCTGCTCCATAGCCCAAACTCAATTTCCAATGCAAGGAGGGAAGCTCTCCTAGTCTTCTAAGAGAGAAGCCTGGCAGCCCAGCAGTGGTGGCACACACCTTTAATCCCAGCACTCAGGAGGCAGAGGCAGGTGGAGCTCTGTGAATTTGAGGCCAGCCTGGTCTATAAGAGCAAGTTCCAGGACAGGCTCCGAAGCTACACAGAGAAACCTTGTCTCAAAAAAACAAAAACAAACAAACAAAAAACCCAAGAAAACAAGAGAGAGAAAAAGTCTGCCTCCAGGACCTCCAGTCATGAAGTCAGAGGATACTACAAAAAGTTAGAAGAGCTACACATCTCAGGGGATTTCAGATTTTTCAGATTGTTGCAGGGATGTTTGGGGGACACATGATCACCTACTTCTCCCAGCACGGAACCTCAGAGAACTGGATGTGTCATAGAAAGAGCAGAAGTGTCTGGAACAGAGCAGAAGGCTGGCAGGGGGTAGCCTTCCTCCTAATCGCTCCCTCTGGCCCCATGACACCCACGACATCCATGACTTACTCCTTCATTCCTAACTGCTCAAGCACACACACCCTCCTACTTTTGTGATGAGGAAACTTGGTTTAGCAATTAGTTCTCTGTTGGTTTAATGAGCTTTACATCCTTTTCAAGTCACTGTGGCTTGTGGGGTGGTTGGAACTCAGGGACAATGTCCTCCTCCCTCGTTTGTTCTGTGCTTGGTACATGGCAAAGGTTTATCCATCTGCTTGCCAATTCAAACAATAAAAGAGCTCTGAAGTTATAGGCCTTCCCTGATCATCCTGAAGTTTAAAGCTTTCAAAACAGAACCACATGCCAGAGTGGGGTCAAGAAGACTTACTTACGGGGACTGGCCATTTGAGTCTAGTTTGGTGGGTCGGGCTGACTTCCTGGAGGCCAAGGCAGCCACGCGCCCCACATCCCCCCGTTGCACTGCCTCCAGCAGCTTCTGATCACGACGGTTCCATTTCTCCACCTAGTCGGGAGTTACAGATTGTATGAATATTGGCGCTGGTAATGGTATGGGGAAGAAAAGTGGTATTAGATGCCCGGCAAGAGGAAAAGAGCACCCTGGAGATTCTCGACGCTTGTGATCTCTAGGCCCAGAGCAAAAGAGCTTTCTTAAGTAGGCCAGCAAAATACTCACCACTCCATATGTCACCAAGAATTACTGACAACAACTGTCCACCATAAACCTAAAGGTGCTCAGGGGATCACTTAATTTAAAAATGTGAAGCTTGTGGGGCTGGAGAGATGGCTCCAGAGGTCCTGAGTTCAATTCCCAGCAACCACATGGTGGCTCACAACCATCTGTAATAAGATCTGGTGACCTCTTCTGGCCTGCAGGCATACATTCAGGCAGAGCACTACATACATAATAAACAACTCTTTAAAAATTATGAAGCTTGGTGTGGACTTATTATAGAATACACTCCAGGAGGTAGAGGAAGGAAGATCAGGAGTTAAAGCCAGGCTTAACCGTGTGTGTGTGTGTGTGTGTGCATGCGTGCATGCGTGCGTGCCTGTATGTGTGTGTGTGTGTGCATGCGTGCATGCGTGCGTGCGTGCGTGTATGTGTATGTGTGTGTGTATGCGTTTGTGTGCATATATGTACCAGTTGTGGTGGTAAATTCCAGTAATTGAAATATTTGGGGGGGGGGCGGCTGAGATAAGAGAATCTCAATTTTGAGGCCAACCAAGGTTCTCCAATAGACAACAGGAAAATTATTATTACTTTTGTTATTTTAAAAGTACTTTGTTTTGCCAGGTGTGGTGGCAAACCTTTAATGCCAGCACTCGGGAGACAGAGGTAGGCTGACCTCTGTGAGTTCGAGGACAGCTTGGTCTACAGAGTGAGTTCTAGGACAGCCAGAACTGAGATACAGAGAAACTCTGTCTTGGAAAAAAAATGTTTTCTTTTGTTGAAACAAAGTCAAGCTAGCCCAAGCTAGCTAAGAGTCACTATGTAGCCAGACTGTCCTCAAACTCAAGACCCTCTTTCTCCAGTCTCTTGGATGCTGGCACAGCATCCAAGTGATTAATAAAGATGAAGGTCTAGCATTTTGAGACTCCATTTATTTATTTATTTATTTATTTATTTATTTATTTATTTATTTATTTATGAGATGGTTCTGTGTAGCCATGGCTAGCCTAGAACTCACTATGGTGCCCAAGCTGGCCTTGAACTCAGAGATCCACCTGCCTCTGTCACCTAATGCTAAGTTTAAGGGTGTGCACCACCATACCTGGCAAGACTCTTTTTAATCACTACCATGACTACTGTTGTTAGATGCCCAGCCTGAGGGCAATCCTAGCAATAACTCCTTCCTTGGTGCTCCCTAGCTCTTTCTAGAGCAAACTGAACCAACCTGACCACTCCCGACTGGTTCACAATGCCCCCCCCCCACACACACAAACACAATCCACCTCCCACCCCAGCTGCTTTGCTTTTTGTCTTTAGTGGTTTGCAAAGTAAATCAAGGTCCCTAGCTTCTGGTCATAGCCACCCAGACTTCTCTAGCTATTGACTCTGGGCCCCAAATTGGGGGCGCAATGGTCAGCAATTATAAAGTTTCTGCTTATATCGTAGCTGGCTATGTCTCTCTCCCGTTGGTCGGTAAACCTCCTCACAGCAAACAACCAGCAAAGCAAGCCAGTTTCTAGCTGTGCTTGGGGAGGCAGCAAGAAGAAGAGACAGAAAGGGAATCCTCCCTCTCCTCTCCGGCCAGGGAGCAGCTGTCCCAGACAGCAGCCACACCTCGGTTGCATTGTTCCATCTTTTCAGCTCAGGTTTTGAGGGTGGAGGAGTAATTAAAATAATTGAAGAATTACAGGGCATAAAAGAGAGAGCTGTATAAAAACACCTAGGGCTGCAAGCATAGAAAACCTAGTTTGGTCCAGAGAGGGGAAACACAAAGGAAGAAGGGAGGAACGCAAAGATCATTGGTATGGAGGAAAAGTTCTCGGATGGGTATCTTGTCATCAGGACTGAGTCTGGGACCTGGTTCAGCTACATGACCTAGAGGAAGCCATTAAACACTCTAACCTGTTTTCTTGCACATAAAATGTAGGTAATAATAACAACCTCACCAGAATGCATTAAACAAGTTAATGTAGATAGATTAGATAGATAGATGCATGGCATCCTTACAACAAAACAGGAAGCAGTGAGCAATTGGGGATGGCCCATTGTGTTTTATGAGGTATAATCTCAACAAGAAAGAGGTTATAGGAAAGGGTGAAAAAAATAGAGTCTGTGGAAGCCCAATAATTCATTTCCAAGTACGGTTTATATAGCCAGGACAAATTGTTAATCATCTACACAGAAAAAATTTAAAGGTCCAAGTCATAAAATTGCCTAGGATAGATGAATTTTGAGGTAGCACTCCCGTAAAACACTCGTAACTTCTCCCAGTCCTTCCAATTAGCCTCAGATAGCCCTGGGAAATAGTTGGGGATGATATCATCTTGCCTGTTTTCACAGAAACAGAAATGGAAGCACACATGTGTTAAACATCTGCCCAGGATCACATAAGAGAGTGACAGTTGGCTTTAGAAACAGTACGGGCCTCTTGCATCCAGACCTAATTTCCATAGCAGACCACATTGTTGCAGAGCGATGGGAAAAGGATTACCTATTTCCAGATAAATGTTTGAGAACACCTCTAGGGCAGAGCTACTCACTCTCCCTACATGGGAGAGTCTCCAAACAGGTTTATTCTCAATGACAAAGCAAGCAAAATGACTCCTCCCCATCCTAACAGGCCCTGACATGCAAGAACACGCTTTTCAGTGCCCCTTGGGAACCAGGTCATCCGATGGAAAACAGAGATGGAACAATGTCTTCAACACTCAGCGCTGCCCGCAGCTGACCTTAACCTCAGGTTCTCCATTCCGACACTTTAACTCTCTTCCCTCTTCCTACAGAAGTTCTTGTTCTTAGTCTGAAGTCTTTGACTAGCCTGGCACTCACAATCCTCTTGCCTCCAGAGTGCTGGGATCTTTTCTTTTTTTTTTTTTTTAATAATTTATTTAACTTTATTTTGTGTGCATTGGTGTGAAGATGTCAATTCCCTGGAACTGAAGTTACAGACAGCTGTGAGCTGCCACGTAAGTACGTGGGTGCTGGGAATTGAACCCATGTCCTCTGGAAGAGCAGCCAGTGCTCTTAACCACTGAGCCATCTCTCCAGCCCCGAGCACTCTAAAGTCTTCACAAGTGTCAGGCATGTAAAACTTCCTTGAGTTAGCCAAGCTAGGGAGGTGGTAAAGGGTGTTTTAGCAATATGGAAACATTTCTTTCCAAGTAGGTCCTTCTAACTCTGCCTGATTTGTTTCCTATAGTTTCATTATACCAAACCATGTTAGAATGGGTAGACATTCTTCATGATGAAACCACTGGAAAGTAAAGAACAAGAGATGTGCTCCCAAAGTCTAAGACTCGGCAGTGGCTCACCTTAACACCTTGGAAAGGAGGCACTGGATTCCATCACAGCCTTAGGGGGTAATCACCAAATTAACCTGCAGACTCCCTATCAAGGATAGTCTTTGTTATTTCTATAGCTGAGATTAGGGAACCCATGTAGAAGTAATTTTACCTTCTCCTATCTCAGACTATGAAATCTCAGGCTTCCTATCAAGATGGGAAGACACCAACAGGCAGTGCAGAAGCAAGTGGCTTCTACTGAAGATTAGTGGATGGGACAAGCATTGGTGGTGCACACCTTTAGTCCCAGCACTTGGGAGGCAGAGGCAGGAGGATCTCTGTGAGTTCGAGGCCAGCCTGTCTATAGAGCAAGATCAAGGACAAGCTCCAAAACAATGCAGAGAAGCCCTGTCTCAAAAAACAAAACAAAACAAAAACAAAAAAAGAATAGGTGGATGGAAATGGAAAGGATGTCTTTAAGGCATGAGGACTGGGAGCTTAAGGTTTTAAAAGCAACAGAAAGCCTCTGTGCTGATCTGATGCAGGAGTGAAAGCTATTTACCAGCCCATCTCTTCGTCTGTGTCCTGCCCAGGCAGAGTAAACTCAGATTTATGACACTCCGGAAGACTTCACTGACTCTGAGCCAGATAACTAAAGGAACTGAATTTTTGCTGTCTTCATAGACAGTAGGTGATATACATTGAATTTTGTTGATTTATTACTTTTTTGTTTTAAAAGACAGGTCTCATGTATCCCAGGCTGTCCCCAATTTCCATCTGTAACAGAGGATGACCTTGAAGTTCTGATCCTTCTGCCTGAGTGCTGGGATTACAGGAATGTGCCACCATGCCCAGTTTACATGGAGTTGAGGACTGACCAAAGCTCCATACATCCTAGACAAACACTCTCTCAACTGAGCTACATCCCTAGCCCAGTGCAGGTTAACTGTTAAAGGACCACAGTCCTTGCCTCCAAGGAAGGTTCCTCACTCAAGGACTTGAATCAGGATAAAGAGAGACGATTGGCTGGCAAAACTGAGAAGCCAGGCTTTGGGGGGTGTCCAGCAAAGCTGCCACATTGTCTGCAAAGGTTCAGTCTGGAAGACATTATCTTGGGGCTTATTATGGGGAAGTTTCTTTTCTTTTCTTTCTTGGTTTCTTGAGACAGGGTTTCTTTGTGTATGTAGCCTTAGCTGTCCCAGAACTAGCTCTTGTAGCCCAGGCTGACCTCAAACTCAGAGATCCACCTGCCTCTGCTTCCCGAGTGCTGGGATTAAAGGAGTGCGCCACCACCTCTAAGGGGGAGTTTCTAGAGGAAAAAAGTTGTAGCTGAAGCCAGCGTACTTTCAAGTCTTCTGCAAGCTTGACCTGAGGGGGAAAGTTTTCATTCTAAGTATGTAGCTGGGAGTGTGGCCTTTACATTCCTACACTCTTAGTTCACCATGGTCTTGTGATACTGAGTTTATGTGAAGGAGCAGACATTCCTCATGGTCAAACATGTGGAGGGCTGGGGTCATAAAGGGAAGGGGGAGGGTTCTAGGCCCCACTGTAGCTCACTGCTCATCCCAGCATCTGGGAAAGGAGGCAGTGCCCAAGGGTGAGAACCAGGAGGAGCCCGTGGCCATGTCACCTCGAACTTGCTTGGTTTCAGAAGCTAAGCAGGGTTGGGCCTGGGTAGGAGAACCCAAAAGGAATGAAATAGTCTCCTTCCCAGGGAGGACACATACTCCATAAATCTACCCGGGAGCTGTAGTTTGTTACTCTACTAGTAAATGCCTTTTGACTGGCTGGCCAATGTGTGGAAACTGTGTAGAAGCAAATGTAAGTGGGACAGAGACAGGCCTCAACACTTCCTACTCTTGCTTCACAGCTTTCTGCCAGGTTTCTGTAGCCTGCCCATGCACAGTGAGATAATCAAACATTTCTCACATGTGTTTATGAGTGACAAGTCAGCTGAGCAATATTAGTAGCAACTATCTCACACCCCCAACCTCCACAGAAGAAGTCATCCCTTCACAGGGGATCACTCCAGAAGATCTCCTCAGAGAAGGGAGGCTGAACCCTCCCTGAACCATCACCTTCTGAAATCTTTGTTTTGTTCTAGAGCGGGGGTTGGGGGGGCATGGAAAATAGAGTAACCTTTGCCAGGAGAGCTCTCATCATGAGTCCATTCCATCTTCTTATTATCCCTCACCATCACATTTCCCTACCTCAATCAAAGAAAATGAATGTCCTAAACTAGACAGAGGGTAGGGCGGTGGTGGCCCACGGCTTTAATCCCAGCACTCAGGAGGCAGAGGCAGGTGGATCTCTGTGAATTCAAGGCCAGCCTGGTCTACAGAGTGAGTTCCAGGAGAGGCTCCAAAGCAATACAAAGAAACCCTGTCTGGGGGGGGGGGACAGAAACAAAACAAAAACAAACAAACAAAAAACCTAGACAGAGGAATAGTTAGAGAGAGAGAGACCAGGCAGGGAGACTTGATTGGTCCCAAGAACCAGTCTGAGGATCTGCAGTAAGGACTGCAGTGAACTGGCCAGGATCGATTCTGCAGGCAACTCACCCAGGCCCTTGGGGACCAGCCAGGTGACTGCATATTCCCTGACATTGCCTATCTACTTAGCTAGATTCGAAAGATTAAGCCATAGTGAGCAGGCAGGCGGTCCAGGCAAAAGGTGGCAGGGGTAATACTGAGGAAAAGGTGGCTAGAAATTGAAGGGACGCCATGATGGACGGCCAGTTGGAAAGAGGTTTGAAGTGGTGTTTGGAAGAATAGATGTGGATGTGTCATGGTGTGGAACAGAGGACAGGTTATGAAGAAGGGCTGGGAGAAGGCACCAGGCTGAAAGCACTTTGGGGACAGAAAGAGAAAGTTGTGGGGAGAAGGCAGGGATGGAAATTAAGCTATGGCAGGAATTAGGGGTGGAAGTAAGAATGGAGGCAAAGGCTAAGGGTGGGGTGGGGCAGATGTCTGAGGTGGGTTGGTACTGGGAGGCAGAGCTGAAGTAGAGAAAAGGGTCATGGGAAGAGAACAGGCCTTCAGACAGCATACCAGAAACTGGAAGTCATTAATGTTGGGAGAACAAGGAGCCAAGGGGGGAGAACTCGGGAAGGAGCAGGTTAGGAGGGCTGAGAGTCAGGTTTTGGGAGACACTCATAAGTTCAGTTAGTAGAGCTGGCCGTCGCATTGCCAGAGCAGCAGCGTGGAAAAGACCGATGCAGGCTTGATGCCATCGTCCATGGAGATGGGACTCAGGACTTCTGTCAACACAGGACTTGGATCCCAGCCCCAGCCCGTCTCCCACACATTTGTCACCTACCGCCACTTGTGAACTGGAGCAGGAGAAGATGCGCTTCATGGCCAGGGCTAGGGCCACGGGGGGGATGGGGACGCGCAGAGAGCCGGGCCACAAGTTCTCAAACCCTCTCGGCTGCGGCTTTGGAGACACAGCTGTCAAAAGGCAAAATGAGTCCCGCCCTAGGCCCCGCCCCAGATCTCACCCCGCTCAATCAGAGACATGGACCCAAGGCAGTGCTTAAAACCCCGCCCCTGGCCCCACCTCGCCCCTGCAGAGGCAAAAAGCCCGCAGTCTTCAGCAGCCGCCCCGGCTGGGCCTCAAAACCCGCCTTCCATCCTACCTATTCAGTCTGAGAAGGTTGCTCGCAGCCTCCGCAGAGACGCCTCCCTGGCCCTACCTTCCTCGCCCTTCTGCGTGAAGCTCCGCCCCAAGAACCTCCACAAGCTTCTATGTCGCCAATGGTCCCCTTTTACCTGTGATGAGTTCTTTAGCCTGTTGTGTGGTTGCATCTTTGGTGTTCCTATCAGGTTCTCTGATGGCAGCAGTTGTATTTTTTATTAGTCCCCTTGCTTGGTACATGTTAGGTCTTTAATGTCTATTGAATGAATGAATGAATGAATGACCAAAGAAGCAACAAGAAAGGAACAGTCTAGTGTTGGAGAAGAGACCATTGCTTCTACAGTTGCTTCAACACGGGTTTTGCTTCAAAAAACTACCGGGCTTTCAGAGGAATAGGCTGCAGTTAGAGAAAACCCTACTCTAGAGCTGAGGGTGGATGGGAAGCAGATATATCCTTGCTAGGAGGATTCAAATAATACGTTTGCTATTAGCCAAAAGGTTAATATTTTTCACACAAAGGAAAAATAAAAGTTTTCTTTAAAAAATTACTACATTTCTTTATTTCTGTGTTCACGTGCATTTATATGGATGGGGCCTGTTGCTATGGCACAGTTGTGGGGATCAGAGGACAACTTGCAGGGGTTTAATCCTTCCATCATATGCAACCTGGGGATAATTTGCACCCTGGGGAATCAGGCATTGTAGCAAGCACCTTTACCTGCTAAGCTATCTGCCAGCCTCAAAGTGTTCTTTTAATTATGTGGATATAAAGAAGAAAGGGCTGGAGGGAGGCTCAGCAATCAAGACTACTTCCTGCTCTCCCAGATGACTATATTAGTCAGGGTTCTCCAGAGACACAGAACTTATGGAATGAAGCTCTCTCTCTGCCTCTCTCCCTCTCTAAGAGGTTTATTCATTCATATATTCATATACATATGGGAATTTATCGGAATGACTTATAGGTCACCATCCAAAAATGGCAAGCTGTGAATGGAAAGTTCGAGAATGTAGTAGTTGTTCACCCACGAGGCTGTGAGGCTGGGTGTCTCAGCTGGTCTTCTCTTTACGCTGGCAACCCGGAGAAGTAGCTGCAAAGCCAGTGGAGGAGGGGTGCGCTGACAAGACAGGGGCCAGCCGGCAGAGAACGGGTGAGCCCTTCCTTCTTCGCACGTCCTTACACAGGCTTCCAGCAGAAAGGGAAATTGTGGCCCAGATTACAGGTGTGCCTTCCTGGAGCCTGAATTAAAGGACTGTGCCACCCAGCCTCAACATCCGTATCAAAAGCCCGTGTCTTCCTGCCTCAAGATCTGAACACAAGTGCATCCTCCATTTCTGTATTGTAATTCATTTCGGGTATCGGCAAGTTGTCCACTGAGAACAGCCAGCACCCATGCTGGGATGCTTACAATCACCTGTAACTCTAGCTCCGGAGTCTCCAATGCCCTCTTCTGACCTTTAAGGGTACCAACACACATGCAGCATACACTCACATGGACAAGAACACATAGATAAATAAATTTAAAAAATACAAACAACTACTCCCCAAAATAGAGACAAACCAGTCTTCAGTAACACCCATTTCCCTTTAGAGGCTCATTGTAAGGAGGTGAGAGATGTTTTCTCTCTCTCTCTCTCTCTCTCTAAAGGTTTTTAAAGTTATTTATTTTATGTGTATGAGTATTTTGTCTGCATGTATGTATGCATGATGTATGTGTACCAGGTGCATGCCTGGTGTCAGCAGAAGTCAGAAGAAATCAAAATTTTGATTCCCTGGAACTGGAGTTAGAATGGATGTGAGCCACTACATGAGTTCTGGGAAACAGACCCAGGTCCAGGTCCTCTACAATAGCAGCAACTACTTTTTTTTTTTTTTTTTTTTTTTTTTTTTTTGAGACAGGGTTTCTCTGTGTAATAGCCCTTGATGGGAAAAGTCCTTCTGTATGTATATTTCTCTTACTGGTTGATGAATAAATAATGAGACAGAAAGATAGGCGGGACTAGGATGAGAATTCTGGGAAAGGTAGGCAGAGAGGGCCCGCCAGAGTTGCCATGCAGGCAGCCAAAGGAGTAACAAGTCTGGACATTTCTCTTGTAAGATAAGACCATGGGGAAATACTTAGATCAACAGAAATGAGTTAATAATTAAGATAGAGCTAGCCAATAAGAAGCCCTAGTCATCAGCCAAAAGTTTTATAATTAATATAGCATCTGTGTGTTTATTTGGGGCTAATGGCTGCAGGACCAGGCTGGGACAGAAAACTTTCATCAAGACCTGGCTGTCCTGGAACTCACTTTATAGACAAGGCTGGCCTCGAACTCATAGAGATCTGCCTGCCTCTGCCTCCCACAAAATGGGATTAAAGGCATGTTCCACCACACAGCTCAAAGCAAGTGCTCTTAACACAGGACCATCTTTCCATCCCTGAGAAATGCTTTCAATGTAAGTATGGCCTCGGCCCAAGCTCTAGACATAACATGCTCCATAAGGGCCAGTCAAGTTATAATTCACATGAAGTACAAAGAGGGATTGCTGTGGGCCACTTCCTGTCACTAAACCACTGGCCAGCTTGAAACAGTGATGTCCTTGCCTGACAGGAACAGAGGCAAAAATCATCATCTCTAGAAAGCAACTGATTCAGTGTACAAGTTCACTGGGCTACAAAAGTACGTGTAGCTGTTAGTTTTTCTGTCTCGCACAGTTCCACTGGACTGGTTTCTCTCCTACCCGCTGGTCCCCACAGCCAATTATTAAATAATCATCCTAAGGCTTAATATTAATTATAACTGTTTGGCCAATGGCTCAGGCTTCTCACTGACTAGCTCTACATATAAATTAGTCCATTTCTATTATTCTCTGTATTGAAGCATGGTGTGGCACCTCTGTTCTGGCATCTTTCTCCATAGGATGCTGCTGCTAGCATCTCTCTTCTTGGGTGGCTGTCTTGAATTCCTCTTGACCTCTTGTAGTGACATATTATTTATGATTCATTAAAGCTTGACTAAGGATTCAGAAAGCAAAGTCAGCCACAAGCCACAGAAGCTAGGCAAACACCTTTAATCCCAGCAGCCAGAGGCTAAGAGGTAGTGGTGCACACCTTTAATCCTAGGACTCAGGATTAAGAGATAGACGGATCTCTGTGAGTCCAAGGCCACCCAGATCTACACAAGAGTGAATCAGTCTAAAAGAGAATTACAGCTCACAACTTTAATTCCAATACTGGGGAGGTATATAAGACAGAAGCAAGGTCTCAGTAAAGGCATTCATTCTCCAGCCACACTGAGGAGAGGCAGCTTGAGACTTGGTGAAGAGCTCATGTATGGATCAGCCCTTTCAGCCAGAGATTGAAGTGAGAGTTGGTGGCCAGCTGCTTTGCTTTTCTGACATTCAACTTGAAGTTTGGACCCCAGTATCAGCCTCTGGGTCCTTTATTTTTCATGTTACACTCCTCCCTTCTCCTGCACATCTGTTTGGATTTCCAGCCTAGCTATATTCTGTCTTGCCATAGCCAAAGCAGCTTTAATTCTCAACCAATGGGAACAACATATATTCACAGCATGCAGAAGGACATCCCACCTCACCCTGGGTGTCCCATGAATTGCCTAGAAAAACCAATGTGATGGTACATACCTATAACCCCAGCAATTGGAAAGTAGAGCCAAGACGACCAAGAATCCAAGGGTAGCCTTGCCTAATTCAGGCTAGCTTGGGCTAAAGGAGACCCTATCTCAAAACAACCACCATGGCAACAGACAAATAATCAAACAAAAACCCACCCAGGTATTTAAAGAAACCAAGTATATTTGACTTTTACCATCAGAACCCTGAGTTAAGAGTCAATTAACACCACAGAAGCTCAGAGTCTGCTTCAAAGGGCATGCGGCACAGGGAGCAAACAGCATAAAGGGGAACCAAATCGGAGCAGGGAACCACTAGATACTTCAGTATACCTCCTGCTTAGTCTGCACAGCACACTGACTGGTAGACTATTTTATAAGAAAACATTTTTGTAATTGTGGCTACTATTTATTAAGTTTTTACTACATGTTCACTTTTCCTAGACTGTCCCATTTGGTTCTTGGAACCTCTAATCTAGACATGAGAAGGGTAACACAGAAGTTATATCTGTCCCAGGTCATATGTATTTGAAACAGGGTGGCCTATACACCCAAATATGCCTTTATTCCTAATCTGTACCATATCTCTGAGAAATTCTGACTTGTTCAAGAAGATACAGCACAAACAAAACATCTGAGCTTTGCAGTGCTCGCCTTTAATCCCAGCACCGGGGAAGCAGAGGCAGGTGGATCTCTGAGTTTGAGGCCAACCTAATTTACAGACTGAGTTCCAGGACAGCTAGAGCTATACAGAGAAACCATGAAGGAAGGGATGAAGGAAGGAAAGAAGGCAGGCAGGGAGGGAGGGAGGGAGAGAGGAAGGGAGGGAGGGAGGGAGGGAGGGAGGGAGGGAGGGAGGGAGGGAGGGAGGGAGGGAGGGAGGAAGGAAAAAAGACCCGGGTCCGGGTTCAATCCAACCTATGCATTTCCAGAATACTTTATACGGTGCCATAAGTAGGTGAGAATTCCAGGATGTTAGAGTGGATCTCTTGTTGAAAAGCCACAGAAAACATTCACAATACTTCCGTATCTGAGCAATCTAAATCCTAGGAAACTCAAACAGAGCCAGAATATTCTTTTCTTTTTTTAAAAAAGATTTATTTATTAATACAGTATTCTCTCTGCATGTATCCCTGCAGGCCAAGAGAGGGCGCCAGATCTCATTACATATGGTTGTGAGCCATCATGTTGTTGCTGGGGATTGAACTCATGACCTCTGAAAAACCAGCTAGTGTTCTTAAATGACTGAGCCATCTCTCCAGCCCCCAGAAGTCATTTGATACTGGATTTTATTTGTTCTGACCATCTGATCACTGTGATAGAAACAACAATGCCCAGGAGGGAGGCTCTGCAGAAGACTAGAGACACCAAAATAAACACTGCAGACAGGCCGCTAGAACAGCCTGGGAAGACAGGTTCAGTGGCAACTGGGCAACTGCCCAATCAGATCTCCTCTCTTCTCAAATCGAAGTCTTAATTACAGAAAAAAAAAAAAAAAGAAGAAGAAG